CTAAGCTTTTTCGAACGTGTTAGATGCAACCACACGAGCCTATGAAAAAGCTTCACCTATTTTATGGCGTACCCAGACAAAGATGAATCTCAAAAACTCTGCGGTGCGCCAAAACCGTTCATCACTGGTTGTTCTTGTTCTCTGTAATTCGCTCCTTCTCGTTTAGATTTTCCTCATTTAGACCCGAATGTCGGTTTCTTAGTTGTCACTTTGGTACTATGCTTAGTTTCAAGCCAATGTTAAATATGAACATAGATTCACATCACGGTCTGATACCCTATATATTTGATTCCTCTGCGGTTTATGCCAATCCCTGGGTCGTCTGATAGCATGCAACTCCTAGAGATATTTCTGTACACGCTAATAAATGCCAACACGGGCTTGAAACGAGTGGGCAACACATTTACTCAGTAGATCGCTTGTCTCCTAGTCGGATTTTCGTAGGCGTTGAGCACACCAGTAGTTTTCGTTCAACCTGGTGTTGTACTCTAGTCGTCTACCTGTCAGAGGAATAAAACTACGCGCATGCATCAGATCAGTTCGCGAGCGCCAAAGAGCTTTTGCCAGGCGGTCAACCTGTTTTAAAATTTTTTAACCAGTCTGCTTGATTTTCCCCTGTCTATTCATCTCTACACAAGACTGTATCTGAAACCAGAAATTTTTAAGTTAGTCAGAATGAAAATTCGGTTTATGCCGTTGGTAAATTTGTTCTACATCGTAGTCGTTTCATCCGCCCTCTCACATTTTGAAAGCAAAAGACACTACTCACGAGTAACTGTGAGTTAGATACGTATTATTACTTCAGCCTAGTAGTTATGTGGTAATTCAGTCCGCAACCTACATGGAAGGCCTGATTTGGTGCGAGGTTTTCGATTTGAGTTAACAGATGGTCAACTATGTCTGCCTTCAATTCTGTTGACGCCAAAGGAACTGACTGAAGACGACACCAGAACAAACATGAATTGGTAATGCGGTTCAGCCCTGGCATAAGCTGGTTAGCACAAAGCTAACACATGTCTTCCATGCGCCTGGTTCAGAATTGAAAGCCCGGATGGAACGATGGATATGCACAACTGATGAGCTCCAAAAAGAGCGAAGATCGAGTTTGGTGCTTACGAATGTGTGGTTGACTGGAAGAATGGAGGATTGTGTGTGAAGGTGAAATCTGAAGGAGGATTAATGTAAATCAACAAAAAGCATCATTGTAGATACACAATAATTCAGTTCAGCTTGTACAACCATTAACCATGCACTTTCGTGCGCCAGTTTTGGTTGCTGTCTTTTGGCTGCCCATTGAGATGAACATTAGGAGAAAGAGAGGAAAAGTTTGAAGGTCGGATCAAAGAGGAAATTCAGAACATCGCTGGCCGTGGCAACCTATCTGGTGACATGCGTAACACATGCCACAACCAACGTAATCTAAGGAGGTCGACTATTTGCTCCAGTGGGCGACCGTGATTACCCAAAACTCTGCCCCTAACCTCAGCATTGCTCGTCCGGCTGCCCCACCTGATTCGTGCAAAGTTGCGTAGATAGCGGTGTTCAAACATCGACAGTCTGTCTTTATCTTGTTTTCTTATTGGCCAAGTTTCTGCACCGTATAGCAGAACTGGCCGAACTGCCGCAGCATACACTCGACCCTTCACAGACAGTAGGATGTCGCGACGGTGCCACCGATGTCTCAAGTTAGCAAATGCCAACCGAGCCTTCTGTATGCGAGCTGACACTTCATTCGTGATGCGTCCACCGGGTGAGATGTAGCTGCCCAAATAACAAAACATGCTCTATTATTTCCCCAGTTAGAGTGAGGCTGGGTTCTGGACCAACCCAGTCTTGTAGTAACATTTTACACTTTGAAGGTGCAAAACGCATACCGAACATGGCTACACTGGTATTCAAGCTGTCCAGAAAATCTTGCAACCTATCTGGATATTCACTTAGTAGCACAATGTCTGCATACTCTAGATCAGACAGACAGTCTGCCACCTGGGAGTAAATCGATGCCACTATCCTCGCACGAGGATAGGACTGTTTCCATAATCCAATACTACAACAAATAGAAAAGGAGGGAGTGGGCAACCCTGACGAACACCACTTTACGTGATGAACTCGGGTGAAAACGTGCGGTAAGCTCGGACTCGGCTTCGACTATTAGTATAAAGGGATTGTAATATTATAATTAATGAGTATACTGTTGTTTTATAATTATTTGGACTGCCGTGTATCCGTGGCACGATTTTATACACCGGTTTACTTCATTCTTCTTACAATCGATCCGTATTTAGTAGATATTACTCCTACTCCTTTTCTAGCGCAAGTTATCTTGAAAAAATCCATGACAATTCTTGGAAGTAAAGTATAAAGTAACATTCACAATACCATTCGTCTTCAGACGGTACACCTTACGTCCTTGCACGCTCCACAGACCCATCAAATTAGCTCATTTTCAGCTTTGACTTTTTCTTGCAGAGAGATCGCTAGCGAGGTGAAAGCCTGTAACGTCCACAATCACAGACAATGATCGCCAGCAAACGCTTATTCAGTGAGGTGATGCGCACCTATACATGGTAAACTATTTAACTGGTCGTTCTATCGTCCGTGACCTGGAGATGTGTCCCGTAGACTTCAGCTCCACACATTGAGCGTAGTACAATCTCGTTGCGTATGCACCAAGTCTTGTTCATTGAATGCATCAATTACGATGTCCTTCATTATTATTTCATTATTTTTTCTCCCAGCCCGAATGGAAAGAATTGGTTTTTGATATTGATTTGACCGACTATGACGAGGTGCGTTATTGTTGTGGTGAACAGAATGCCTCGTCGAAAGCATCAGTTTGTTCTCGCTGTTGGCAACTGGCCCAGTCTGCAGTCCTCTGCGTGGATCGCGCGTTACGAGAAGATTTCGGGTTCGAACATTTGCTCTGGGTCTATTCCGGTCGTCGTGGGGTTCATTGTTGGGTATGCGACAATGCAGCACGAAAGCTCGATCCGACTGCCCGTTCCGCCATTGTGGAGTACTTGAGCTTGGTACGCGGGGGCAATTCACGCAGAGTAAGTGATGCTTCATCCGGATGATGCCTTTTCTCCTGTTTCGGTGGTACCTTCTTATCTCATTACCAGGAAAACTTAGTCGTACACTCCCTAGTTCACAGTGTGTACAAAGTAGATGTAAGTTTCCAACTTGCGTAGAAAATTGGTTTGCTAGTTTTAGCGAGATATAGTCATGTGTTACCGACAGCATCCAATTTAGCCGTGCATACGTCTTTCCCCAGTCTAAAAATAAGAAGTATACTAGTGTTATCCATTCGGTATCATATCTCCAACCAACCAGCCGATTACAGGATCTTTTGAATCGATTCTCGGGAGGTGATAGACTTGTTTAAGCTACTTCTCATACTTCGTTTCCAAGCTGTCTGTTGATCTGCGCATATTTCCCTAATAGGATTTCACCGAAGCAGATATTGATTCAAATAAGGTCAACGGGAGAGCTTAGGTCATGCTCGAGTGTTAACCTAGCAAAACCATGCACAACTCATACTGTCTCCCCGTGTGGGGCCTCGAAACCAGCTTTATAGTTTATGAAAAAACAATGAGATCAGACCCCCCACTGTTATTGTTTTTTTTTCACATACAGTGTCTCTACGCAGCCGATTCCGCTCTTTTATTCATGACACGGGTTTACTTACTACCTGAGCGCTTTTATCAAATATTCCTGTTTTCTCACACTGATCGACCGAACGAGCTACCACTAACTGAGCATGGAAGTGCTGGGTTTGGTGAAAAGTGATCATCTTTAAGGTGGTTGTTTCATCTGTCTAATTCACTCCTTTTTTTACAAGTTACCCATGGTTTTTGGGTTTTGTAACTTGCACAATTACGCCGGATGTTACCCTTTGGAGCTGTTTTCGTCCAGCTCTTCAATTCAGCCTACCATTATCACTCAATGTGTCCGAATACCACAGTGGTACCAGTTTCTGGTTCGTTCCCCAAAGGCTTCTAACGAAAAGTTTCACCGAGTTAGATCGTTTAAGTCAATGTGAAATTTTCCATTTGTTTTGGTTTAAAACTCAGAAAACCACACAAAGTAAATGTCGATTAACTCTGTCTCGTTTACCGATCTATTTTTTTAAAAAAAAGAAATTCGACCGATATCCTTAGACAGTCAGATCACCGTAATGTGAATGAATACCGCTCAAAGTGGATGTTGGTATGTATGTGGT